TGGTCGAACTTCCGCCTCGTTTACATGCAGAAACATAGTCTTTGTTTCAAGCGGTTCTTGAAAGTATGGATTCCTCACTGGAATGCCGTCACCCATTTTTCCAGGTGTAATTTTGTATAAGCCATAATGTTTATGTTGGTTATCATTTATCGTCACGTCAGACAATCTGGGCGACGTTTCATTTTGAACTTGACCAAAAAACCCCGTTTTGTGGCCAATCACGCGAAAGAAAACATTGGCATACATATCACTAATATCTTCCCAAGTTAAGTGCGGCCAAAGTCCCGCTGGAGCTGGCTGATGTGGCAGCTGAACGTAGATGAACCCCACTGGAATGGTGTTCTCCTTCAACCCTTCAATCTCCTTCTGTTGGTGCTCCATCTTGAGGGTCGTCTTGAGCAGCTTCTCCTGAAACTTTCCCGGTGACCAGTTCTGCAGTCGCTGGCAGACTACCGCTCCCTTCTGCTGACATCGGACGCTGATCCACTTGCCGGTGCCCTCCACGTGGTGGTCAGCCAGCATTTGAATGCACACTCGATCATTGCCCAGACTGGGATTGCCCCCTGCCCAGTTGCTGTACTGCCACTGCTGCTGTTCGCTGGCGTTGCTCAGCTGCTGTCCACCGAGCCAGACAGAGTTGAAGAGGCGAAGTTCAGTGAAGATGAGCTTCTCCATGAACAGCTGCTCATCGTTGGTTTGAATGTTCAGCAAGGTGGAGGCGGCATCAGCCTCTTGGCACAGCTCGACTGCCCTCTCATAGGGCTCCATCTGGTAAATCACTTTGATGCACTTTAGGTCAGTGTACGCCGTCCAGCCGCTAGGGCAGTAAGACCAGGAGGAGGAGGAAGAGGAAGAGGAGACGAAAGCGGTTTCTGTTCTCATCATCACAAAGAATTAGTTTTGGGTTGTTAAAGTACAAACAAAACTTACCTGTTTCACTTTGATTGGAGTCCACTCTCGGCTGAAGCTGCACAAAAGTTTCCCCTTTGCCGAATGAATTGAGAACCACCTGCAAAATGGCGCAGTTGATGGCGACAGAGAGTGCGACCACTGCTAGCACGCCCAGCAGGCGGTTTCTATTCTTGTCCATCCAGTTTAGCAGCCAAGAGTTATTGCTGGTTTCGCTCGCCATCTTTAAATTTATCTTGAGGGGTTCACCTTCAAAATTGCTCAAAAATAAAATGCTGTTCTCGTTGTTGGTGCCTGCTGTTGCCATGCTGTTGACTTTGTGGTAAATGTCTTCGTGCCTTCAAGGAGACACTGATAAAACGAAAACGCAGAAGTTTTCCTATCTGCTTCAAAAGAGAGGGGCGCCATTCGAAGCAGAATCAGCACAGTGCATTATCAAGCGCATAAGCAAAAACTGTTTGTGCTACGCCGAAATATAGTAGTGGTATCGTTTTCCCTCTCTTTAGGCTCAAAGATAACAAAGCAAAAGATAATATGTCAATATTTTGACTTTTGTTCATCGCATATTTCTAACGAGTTCACAAAATGCTATCCAAAGAGGGTGAGTGATATTTGTATGCAAAGTCAAAGTACAGCAGTACAAAAATGTACATTTTAATGTTCAAATGATGAGGCATTTTGCGTAAAAGAAAAAAGCATATGCTTCAAATCAACTTGTACAGTGCAAACATGAGAACGGCGATGATGTGTGAGTAAAAGTAGAGGCCCTTCCAGATGAACCAGACATTGGCGAGGTTTGAGGACTAGAAAAGAGTGAAGCATTTAAGTCATTTTAGAACACATTAAAGAAAATCAGTCCTATTTACATCAGGCTTTCCGTCAAATGTCGAGCCGAGGAAGGCCAAGTTGACCAGTGCCAGCAGCGTAAAGGCGCCATTAGCCAGCGGCACCAGACTGCCCAGACTGCGCCCGGTATTGGTGTGACTGGGCTTTGAGCACTTCTGCCTGCTCTGTCCATCCTCGTCCTCAAAGTCGTAGTAAACGCAAGCCCTGCTCTCAATGCAGGCGGAGAAGATGTGGGCGAGTCGGTGGCGAAGCTTAAACTCCGCCTGCGTCAGCAGACCTAGCGTCAGGAGGACGGTCCAAATTTGGAAGTTGAAACCCTGCAAAAAAATTCACAACAGTTTACAAAAAGTTCAATCAAACTGCAAACTTCAGAACTCAAAGCAGACACTCACATGAAGGTAGGAGCTGATAAAGTAGGTGGCAAAGATGGTCGCGTAGATGTTGCCGGCAAAGTAGCGCTTACAGGGCTGAAAAACGTACCGCTTCAGCCAGTGGTGCATGGGAATGTTCCAGGCGATGACCACGTCCACCAGAGAGCGAGGCAGCTCAATCGACAGCGGCTTTGTCACTGTCATTCTGATGGAAAGTTGAAATCAGGAGATTATCATCACCCAAAAAACAAACATATCAATCACAAAACTCACCGCAAGTCCCAGAGATCAAACATCGCCTGCGCGGCAAAGCAGATAAAGTAGTGCGAGTAGTGAAATTGCACCGCCGTCGCATAGGCGAGCAGGCCAATCTGCAGCGGATGGGCAATGGCCAGCGGGGCGGCCAGCTCCAGGGCGTCAAAGAGGACGCCAAAGGCGAGGCTGACGAGGTAGTAGTCGATGAAACAGGAGCTAATTAGCAGACACAGCAGACAAAAGGAGAAGGCAAGGAGGGCGCGAAGAAGGCCGTTGGGGACGCTGCTCAGCCACAGACCACTCTCACCTGGCCCGGGAGGTGGAGTTGGAACAGTTTGCCTTTTAAGGTCACCCTCACTCGAATGCGGATGCCAGACGCCGAGAATGAGCACACTGGGGTGGAGGAGGTAGGCGGCAAAGTGGAGGTAGGTGCCGGCAAAGTTCTGCTGCCCTCGCCTGCCCGCCGTCTTGTCCTTGCCCTTGAGCAACTGCAGCTGGGCCGCCTCCTCTGCGTAGTAGCTGATCGACTTCATGACGAGCAGCATCATATTGGGGCGCAGTTTGATGAAGGCATCCTGACCAAACAAGAAGATGGCCGCCTCATTCAGAGAGATCAGCAGAATGGAAAGTGCCCAGAGGAGAAGCAGGTGGTGGTTGTTAGAGCCGGCTCTAGAAGAGGATAAAGTGTGCAAAAGTGCAGGCACTGTGAAGCTGGCGGAGAGCAGGGCCAGGCTGATAAAGAGAAGGAGGGGACCGCTGTCGAAGCGGTAGTGGTAGAGCAGGAGGCACCCGCCGGCGGCGATGTTGACCGCATTGCTCAGGTTCAGCAGAATGAAGGAGAAGAGACGGGGCTGGCGGCTGTCCAGATTTGCCAGCACGCCTTCGAAGAGGCTCTCAATGAGAGCGGTCAGCAGGCGGCTGACCAGGTTGGCCAGCAGAATGGGCAGCAGAAACTCAAAGAGGGCGTCGGAGAGGGTGGGCCGGATGCAGGTGGCCGTCAGGTCAAAGTCATTGAAGGCATCAATACTGGAGAAGTGGTGGTGGTGCTGCTGATGAGCGGCATTCTCGGCATCGTAAAAGTCGAGTGAGGATTCTAAAAGAGGAAAGATGAAAGATTAATTTTTAGCATTCCACCTGAGCATACTTACCATCCTCATCATCGTAGCTAGGGATCAGATCATCTTCAGGCAAAATCGCCTGCTCGTCGTCGTAGTAGAAAGCTCGGTGGTCCATTTGGTGTGTTTAGTGTGTTCTTTGAGATCAACAAAAGCTCTGCAAATGAAGAAGAAAAGGTCGTTAACAAAACTGAAATCGTTCATCAGTTAAAAAGCGCGCTGAGAAGAATAAGTAAAGTTAGTTTATTTGAGGTTTTTTAAATAAAAAATGAACCTCGACATTAAAATGGTGATGATGATGATTAGATGTGGTGATTAGACTGGATATCGGATAATACAAAATCAAAAGTGAATACAAAAGAGATCCAAAAATAGTGTGTCGGTGTCACAGGGATTGAGCGGATGAAGTCTGTTACATGTTGTGGCACAATGTCGGAGGTGAGCAAACTTCAGATGACAGTTGAACTAATGTGCTTGTCAATTTGGCGGCGGACGTCTTCCATTGACTGATCGGCGTCAATGATGACCACCTTCGCCATCGGACGTTTCAAGTGCTTCCAGCAGTTCATGTCGATCGTATCAAACAGACGCTCGTGGTACTTGTGAACGTCAGCCAAGTAGCTCTGTCAGATGATAAAAGAAGTTGCAGTTAGAGTAAAAATCACACAATGAATTTCAATGCTAAAAACTTACCAGCGGAATTAGTTCATCTTCAGATCGGGCACGCTTTTGAATGCGATCGTAGACTGTTTGCGGGCTAGTGCGCAGGTAAATGAACTTGTTGATCTGACATTCAGGCCGGGACATCAGGTACTTGAACCACTCATCAAGAATGGCGTACTCGGCCTTGTGAATTTTGCCGCTGCAAAGAAAGTAGACACGAGTAGATCACGTGATTTCTGACATCCCTAATCATTTTACCTCTGATAAAAGTTCTCCACAAAGCAGAACCGATTGGAGAATATGGACCGCTCCAGCAGATGGATCGTCTTCCGTCCGCCACACTCGTCCTCGTCAATGTGCTCATAGAAGATGGAGCGCATCTGATCGAAACGAGTGTACTGCGAGTAGTGCTCAAAGACGAATCCATTTCGCGACGGATCACTGTACATCTGGTTCAGTAGGTTAACGTGAGCCGGTCCCACCGAGGTCCAGCGAGTGAGCGGCTCCGGACTGACGATCAGATTGAGACTGCTCTGGTCGGGAATCTTCGGCTTCCAGATGTCCTGCTCGTAGTCGCCGGTGTAGCCATGCTGAGCGGCGATGTGCTTGAGAACGGACGTCTTCCCGCAGCCGATGTTCCCCTCGACGCAGATCTTCCGTGGTGGTGGTGGCAAGTAAAAGTGTTGGTATAATTAAGCGTGGCGGGAACAGTGAGGAGTTTTGAACAGAAATCGTGGACAAGACAAATCAAGACAGACATTCACATTTGACAAGCATCACAGAACAGACAGCAAGGCGGACACAAAGCAGCAGACTTACCCGATAGAAGACGGACTGTGAGCTGGTTGCTTTAATCATTGATGCAGCTGGCGTTTGTCAGGCGAATGACAGTCGATCAAATGAATTCTATGGACCCGGGAAAAAGGTTGATGCAGCACCAGAAAAACCGCGTGAATGACACAAAGAGAAACAGAGAGAAGAAAATCTGCGCAAGTCAGCCGCAACGCTCCCTTCGCAGAAGACGGATTCAGAAATGTAAACAAAAACTTGTCACACTTTTCTCACGTCATTTCAAGGAAGAATGTCAGAATATTCTAAGCCCGGAACTTCAAAAATGTCTGAAAAGGCACTTGAAAAGAAACTTGAAAAAGGACTGGAAAAAGAATCTAAAAAGACACCCGAAAAGAAACCTAAAAAGGCACATGAAAAAGAATCTGAAAAAGAAACTAAAAAGAAACCTGAAAAGAAACCTGAAAAAGCACTTGTAAAAGAACTTGATAAAGCACCTGAGAAAGTACTTAAAAAGACAAAAGAAAAAAAATTAGAAAAGAAACCTGAAAAGGCACCTGAAAAGTCTCCTGAAAAGTCTCCTGAAAAGAAATTGAAAAAAGCACCTGAAAAAGAGCCTGAAAAAGCGTCTAAAAAGGCTCAAGAAAAGAAATCTGAAAAGGCACCTGAAAAAGAATCTAAAAAGTGTCCTGAAAAGAAATCGAAAAAAGCACCCGAAAAAGAACCTGATAAAAAGCCTGAAGAAGAAGAAAAGTCAAGTGATTCTTCTGATACGGCAGAGTCAGAAGAGTCCGAAGAAGAAGATCCCAATTTACCTGAAGAGTGCCTTCTGCAGAGACTCGCCCTGAGTGACAACAACAAGGTCAACATGGCTCTGTACGCCCCTCCGAAGAGAAAGGTAAAACCTCGAACTGCGTTTGAGGATGATATAGAACATCGAACGGGCATTAAACTGCGCGAGCCGCCGACCATCGTCTTCTACTTTGGCGGTGACATGCAAAACTTTCGCGACGAAATGGGCAGCTCACCCGAGGACGAGTTCGTGCGAGATCGGTACTGCCTGGAGGCGACCGTCCTCGCCCTTCGCGGCCGCTTTGAGCACTCGGCCATCGTGGCCGTCCAGCCGGCGATGATGCTCCACCGGCTGTACGCCATCTACAGCAACTTCTACGGTATCACCGACAAGACGGGCTCGCCGTGCTACACCACCAGCAGCGAGCCGCTCCACTACCTGGTCCACATGATCATCAGCGTCTTTGAGCAGACGGGAACGTTTGACCCGTTCGCGCGCATCGCCCTGGTCGGCTTCAGCAAGGGCGTCTGTGTGCTGAATCAGCTGCTGATCTCGCTGCACCACGCCGCGCCGCTTCCCCTGCCCGGGACGGCTAAGTTTCGCTGGGCCATCACCGAGCTGTACCTGCTGGACGGTGGCCACTGCGGCCAGAGCGGCGCCTGGCTCAACGATCCCGACATCATCGGCTCGCTGGCAAATTACGCCGCCACCGCCGGTGTCTATCCGCTGCCCGTCAGAGTGGGCGTGACGGCCTTTCAGATTGAGTTTAAGCGGCGCACCAAGGTCGCCCCGTGGATCGCCGAAGAGGAGGAGACCTTCTGCCATCTGGTGGAGCGTTTCGCCGAGGACCGAGTGATCGACGACCTCGGTCTGGAGGCGGTGGGCGGCCCGAAGAAGGGCGAGAAGGTGAAGTTGTTAGATCTGAAGCGACTGTACTGCCGGGCGGGCAAATCGGCTCCGAAAACGAACGAAACCGAGTACTACCTGCGAATGCACTTCTCCATCATTGACAAACTGGTGGCCGGGGAGCTGTAGGGAAGATGCGACTTTTTCGGGCACATGAGTTTTAATAACTTGTCAACCAGCAATAACAAGTGCACAAGAAGTGAAGTGGAAAGTTGAAAAACATGAAATGAACAATCAAATCTCTGCCGCTGCCGCCGGCACTTGCCCAGCTACTCTTCAGCAGGAGGCGCTTCACCTTCCTCCTTTGCCTCCTCCTTTGCCTCTTGAGCCTCCTCAACACCTCCGCCACCTTCGACCACTTGCTCCTGCTCCTTCTTTTTCTTCTTTGCCGACATCGTTTTGAGACACCTCTCCAGCTGAGCCTTCGCAAAGGAGGTCGAATCTGAAGAAACTAAAGTTCACTCTTTAGAGGAACTCTGATCTTATAAGTTTTGATCTTTCACACTTACCCTTGGGGCTGGTGTGCGTCTTACTGCCGGCACTCTTCCTCGACGACTTTGGCGAGCTGGGCGGCTCCAGCGCCGACTGGAACATGTCACTCTCCACACTGGAGGAGGGCGCTCGCGTGAGGGCAGCCGAAGAAGACTTTTCACGGACTCGGCCGCCGCTGGCAGTCCTCCTCTTCTGCTTCAGCTTCCTCTTCTTCTCCTTCATCTTCTCTCGCATCGTCTGCCGGCGCAGCTCCTTCTTCACCGAGTTCTGCAGCGCCGGCGGCGACAGGTACTGCGGCGGGATCATCTCAATGACCAGTGGAAAGCGGCAGAGGACTCGCGAGCTGCGATTGACCCACTCGGGCAGGCGGACGCCCTCGCCGCAGAGCTCGCCGAGGAAGGCGTTGGTGAAGTGGTTGCAGTTCTTGTAGAACAGGTGGTAGTCCTTGCCACGCCAGCTCAGGCCCAGGTGACGGAGCTAAGGGGAGGTAAGAACATTTGGCAAAACTCTAACAAAACTATGATGATCACTAACCACTTCGACCACTTCTGGCAGCGTCCGACCGGTGGTGCCCATGGGCAGCGTCTTGAGGAAGGTGAAGACGCCGTCGATGTCGCTGAGCGACTTGAGATTGCGCGGCTGCTTCATGCGAAAGATGCCCGGCAGGTCGTACTGGTGGCCGCCGTAGGCCCACTCATTGCGGTGCACCTCCACGCCGGTGTGGAAGATGCCGAAGCCGTACTGAATGTGCACGTTGACCACTTCCAGCGCGTACACGTTCACCTGCACCTTGAAGATGGGCGGCGGCGGCGGTGGTGGCTCAGGTGCCGGCGACTCAGCAGTGATCTCCAGTGAGTCCTTGGGCGAATCGGTCTGCTGTTGCTGCTGTTGCTGTTCTTCAGCTGTTTCCACCTGTACCGGCGACTTGTTCTCACTACTCTTGGTCTTCTTCTTCCTCGCCTTTTTGTGGCTGCCTCTGCTTCGACTGGTCACTGAGGGCGGCGAGGCCGACTTGTTCGAAGAGCAGGAGTTGCCCATTGTGCCAGTTGCTGTTGTTGCAAACAGAAGAGACAGAATACGCAAGAGAAAACAGCCCAATGTGAGGTAAGCTCACTTTTGTAGCCCTTTACAAAACATTCTTGTTAAAAGTTCGAATTAAAAATTATCAACTCAAAAAGAGACATTTGTATGCTTTTTCAATTACAACAAAAAGTGGCTTCCAGTGAAAAACCGGTCTGGAAAGCCCTGAATAAATTAAGAGGGGAAAAGATGAAAAATTAAAATAAAATAAAAAGCCAAAGTTAGCCCTTCTTTCCACTCTTGCGACTCGAGGAAGTCTTGCCCTTTGACTTTGACTTTGACTTTTTAGAGGAAGACACCTTGGAGGAGCCGCCCTTTGACTTGAGGCTCTTGCGGCGCGAGGAACCTCCACGACTCTTGACGGACTTTCGCAGGCTGCGACCGCTCTTGCCGCTCTTGCCACTGCCTCCTCCTCCTCCTCCTCGACCTTTCTTGGAGCCGCTGAAGCAGAGGCAGTAGATGAGGAAGGCGACGACGATCAGGGCGACGGTGCCGGAGACGGCCAGGGCAACCAGCAGAGCCGTCGACGCCGACTGTTCGGTCATCTGCTCGGAGAGGACGCGGGCGCGCTTCTGCGCCGCCGGAAGGAGGGCCCTCGCCTTGGCCTTTCGCTCGAGGAAGGTCACACAGTGGCGGTACTTCTTGTCCACCTTGTACTTCTCCTCGCAGTGCTCCTTGATGTGCTTAATCATCACCTCGCTGATCTTCACGTGGTCGATACCGCCCGGAAAGATGCGCTTCGTCTCCTCCTCCTTGCCGTCCTTCAGCATCGCGAGGATCACCTCCAGGCACTTCTGCATGTCCTTCACACAGATCTGCACCCAGTGCACGAAGTCGTCCTTGAACTTGTCGCCGCCCTCGTCGGGCTTGTCTTCGCCTCCGCCGTCATTGTCATCACCACCGGCGCCATCGTCCTCACCGCCGCCGCCCTCGTGGTGATCACCTCCGCCGCCTTCGTCCGGTTTGTCTTCACCTCCGCCACCTTCGTGGTGATCTCCTCCGCCACCCTCGTCGGGCTTGTCCTCGCCGCCACCTCCTTCGTGGTGATCTCCTCCGCCGCCCTCGTGGTGATCTTCACCTCCGCCGCCCTCGTGGTGATCTTCTCCTCCGCCTCCTTCGTGTTCACCTCCTTCGTGTTTTCCGCCCTCGAGTGCGCGGCCAACAACGCCAGTCTTCTCCAGAGCCTCCTCAGTTGTCAGATGTTGTCGCTTTGCCATGAAAAAACGAGAAAACGGTGTTGCCTGTAAAAAGAGAGAGGTTGCTTTGAAGCTGTTGCTAGCGCTGAGTAAGCCTTCTAAATGCCGTACTACCGGTCACTGTTGTCTAGTTTTGTTTAGAAAAGAAAGCTCTATTGTTATTATTTACAAAAGTTCGAAAACAGCAGACATTTGCTATGAGTTTATTTGCAGAGTTTATCGTTGTAGGCGGCATTCTGACCGCAGATTGGCAGCGGCTGACCGCGTTCATTGAAAACCCACTCGTCGAGGCTGAGGAANGCAAAAGTTCGAAAACAGCAGACATTTGCTAAGAGTTTATCTGCAGAGTTTATCGTTGTAGGCGGCATTCTGCCCGCAGATTGGCAGCGGCTGACCGCGTTCATTGAAAACCCACTCGTCGAGGCTGAGGAAGGTGGACGGAGAGGAAGTAGAAGTAGTTTGTTCTTTCTCCTCTTCCTGAAAAGTCAAATAGAGGTACTTGAGCGTCGCCGCAAGAAAGTCTACATCCTGGTAGTTGCCCTTCTCCGTGGGCGTCTCATAGACGTCCCGAATTCGCGTATAACCACCAGCACTCTTGTACTGCACTGCCCGACAGTGCGTGTGAATCGCCTGCGCCAGCCTCCACGCCAGATCTCGGTACAGCTCCTCCTTGGTGATGCGGTACAGCAGAAAGTAGGTGAAGGGCAGCTCGGGACTAGTTGAGGAATAGCATTTTTAGTTCAGTTTTAGTTTTTGACCCTCAAAAGCACAACTACACCTACCTAAGCACAAAACGACCCGAGTCGGCCATATTGACCTCCTCCTCATCCCGATAGTCAAAGTAGAACCGGTAGGGAGCCAGCCTGGTGGCCGTCTGGTTGGCCATCACCTGACAGGTGTTGGCCAGCTGCCGTGCCCACTCTCGATGGCGTTCCCTCTCGCTGATGTACTCCGCTGGCATGACCTCGGCGCCCAGCGCCAGCAGCCCGCCCCAGACGCACCCGTCCACGTTCATGTACTTGTCGTAGCGGTGAAAGTTGGTGTTCAGGTTGAAGTTGCGAATGTAGAGCAGGCCCGCCAGCGGACTGGCGGACACCTTGAAGAGGCCATTGGCGTGGGCGGCGCCCAGGGCGGTGACGTACTGCTGCAGTGCCTGCTGGTCCTTTCGATTAGTCTGAATGTAGGAGAGGAGGAGGTTGGAGAAGAAGGCTCGACTGGCGGTGAAGAGCGTGGCCTGGGCGGTGGTGAAGACGCCCCGCTCCACGTCCACCTGGTGCATGTACAGGTGCTCCAGGGGGTGGTGAAGGGCGGGCGAACGGGTGAGGAAGTGGCGAATCTTCTCCGCTCGCAGCGAGTAGCTGAGGTTTCCGCTGAGGAAGGAGAGGTACTGGTACTCGAGGTGCTGGCCGCCTATCGTCGAGAGGAAGGGCGTCTTCAGGGAGGGCTCACCCACGGAGGGACGCAGTTTCCAGTAGGGTAGTCCTGATTTTGGAAAAGGGTAATAATTTAATTTTACTCCTCATCATTTCTACTTACCAGTTCGACTGCGATACGCCGGATCGAGGACGTCGGCAATGGCGATNCCACGGAGGGGCGCAGTTTCCAGTAGGGTAGTCCTGATTTTGAGAAGGGTTTTAATGAAACAGTTTTACTTTTTAGCTTTCTAAAGATTTTACCAGTTCGACTGCGATACGCCGGATCGAGGACGTCGGCAATGGCGATTGAACGATTGAGAAAGAGCCCGTCCCCGGTCAGTGCGTAGGCACTCAACAGTCCACCGATGAAGTAGTTGACGGAGTGCTGTACGTCCACCGCCTTGCTGATGGCGCTAAAGTTGAGCCTCCTTTCCGTCCAACTGCGAGCCACCTCGTACTCCTCTTTCAAGCCCAGCAGGTGAAGTGTGGAAAGGGCGGAGACGACGCCTAAGCCGCCGTTGGTGCCAAAGAAGTCAGTGAAGGGCTCGCGACTGAGCGGTTTCAGTGCATCGGCACCCAGGGCGTGGCTGGCGTAGGCGGCCCAGGCTTCTCGAGCCATTCTTCGAACGTAGGCTCTCCTTTTGCCCATCTCAGTGAGCGGCACTTCTGTAGTTGAAGTGAACGATGATGCTGATGATGATTGTGTTGAGGTACTGTTCGGCAAAAGCTGCAGCTGATCGTCACTCGCCTTGTAGACGAACTGGTAGAAGAGCAGTGCAAGGAAGATGATNGTGAGCGGCACCTCTGTAGTTGAGGAGAACGACGATGAAGATGATGATTGTGTTGAGGTACTGTTTGGCCGAAGCTGAAACTCATCTTCACTCGCCTTGTAGACGAACTGGTAGAAGAGCAGTGCAAGGAAGATGATCACCGCCAGCGCCACCACCGGTGGAACGATGTACAGCTCGATTCGATGAGGGCATGATCTTTTTTTAGGCTTTTTGGCAGCGGTTTTTTGCTGCTGATCACTTATGAAAGCCTCCCGTTCCGGTGGCAACTTAGGCAGCTGGGGCTGGGCCCCGGTCTGAAAGGTGCGGCTGGCCTGGTTGGAAAGTGAGGGTCGAGGCGGTGCCACTCGCACTGGGACCAGTGGTCGAGGAAGAGGTTGATGATGGAGGTGGGCAGTGTTCTGGTACATCGCAATAGTTTTTTAAAATTAGTTTTTTGTTCGTTATTTGCAGGAAGAAAGAGCTATTGGCTGAGAACACTGCACCTGTTCTTGTGTGTATGTCCACTCAGGTGAGACGCTACTGCTGCTGTTGAGGAGCGATTTCACATGTTTGTTGGCTCTGGTGGTGGTGGTGCTTGTCTAACTGTTGTCTGTTACTGCCACTGCCACTGCCACTGCAACCAACATAAGTAACCAAAGGTTACTAAATACTCACTGTCTGTTAGTGATGGTGGTGGTGGTATCCTCGGAGATACACCAACTGGTGGCAATCAAAACCCAGAGCTGAGTGCATGAGCTGCTGCTCTCATCATCTGCTCACAGCTCACCACTCAATTTATAAGTTTCCTTTGTTGTCCCCTTTCTCTGCTTTTCTTTTGATGGCAGTTGTGATGATAACAGTAAACACAGTGGTTGATATGGGGCAAGATGCACTGCAGTAAGAAAAAGTGGTTGATGCTGCTGCTTCTGTACGGCAAAAACTGTGTATGTGTGAGTCATTTCCTTCCGCTGGAGATTACTATCGGAGGAACTAGGAGCTAAGCTGCCATTCATTTTATGAGAACGGAAATCTCAACTGTCAGGTTTAGTTGGTTTAGATTCTTTTCTGATTTGAGGACGCTACTTGAACCTTTTCGCCAGAACGGCACCGCTATTCCTCAGCAGTCCGTAGGCGAAAATGAGCAGTTTGGTGTAGTAGAGCAGGTGACGGCCAAATGACTTGACAGTGACCTTGCCAAACTTTCCATAAGTGACTGTGTGCTGATTTGTTGTGTAGAACTGCTCCACGTACCGCAGCGTTTTGAGCTTCAGTCGCAGACAGCCAGCTTTTCTTGGATGACCCTCAGAACAGGGCCAGCTGGCCATGACCACCATCAGCTTCTTCGCCGGACAGTGCAACTTGGCGGCTATCAGTGCCACCTTGAGGTGGACGCCAAAGATGAAGAAGACCGCCAGGAAACCGCTCAACGTGAGAATAACTTGCAGAAGGAGAGACAACTGGTGAAAGGCAAAGGTGAAGATGACCAGCGCATTGGCGGGCAGACCGACCACCACCGAGGCATACAGCGCCCGACCGTACACTCGGTTGATGTCGTACAGAAGGAGGAGAAACTGGTT